CAAAAAAATTCCTCATTAGTTTTTCTAATCTTTTAATAATGGTTTGGGTCATGTGAAACATAGATAAGTATTACACATGGAGATTTGTTAAGGTGAACTTACTGAGTGTTATTCTACCCCCTAGAGAAAGGTAATTTCTCTTCCACACAGCCAACTTCTTTTCAAACTTCTCCACCACCAGTTTCCAAAAACTCAAAGTTCTCAGGTTTACACCAAGAGGAAGACCCAAATACTTCAATGGCCACTCATTAAATAGACACCCTAATTTCCCCGCCCACAAATCTAAATCCTCTTGCTCCAAATTGACCCTAGCCACCACACTTATCTAAATTGACCTTTAAATTTGTTGCTTTCTCAAAAAGACTCACCAACATCCTAACATCCCTAACTCCTAACCCATCTTCATGTTCACAAAAGATGATAATGTCGTTTACAAACTATAGATGAGTTACCACTACCCTATCCCTTCCTATCTTCCACCCCTTTAATAATCTCACTTCATCAGCTTTTGAAATTAACCTGCTGTACACTTTTGCTATAAGAGTGAATAAGAAGGGGGGAAGAGGATCCCCTTGCCTCAAACCCCTAATGGCACAAAAAAAGTCCTTTACCACCCCATTCACCAATACTAAGAAACGGCAAGATTGCAAACACCCTTTTATCCATTTGCACCATTTAACACCAAAACCACAATTCACCAAAGCTTCAAGTAGGAACTCCCAATCTACAAAATCATAAGCTTTCTCCAAATCCAATTTGCACACCACACCCTCTTTTTCCAAATCTCTTAAAAGCTTCCACACATTCATTGGCAATGAGTATCTGATTTGAGATTTGCCTATCCTGAATGAAAATCCCTTGGAACTAAGAGATAATTGAAGGGATAACCTTTTTTAACCGAAAGATAGGACTTTGGCTAAGATCTTGTATAGTTTGGTTACCAAACTGATTGGTCTAAAGTCATTGGGACGATATGCTCCTGATTTCTTAGGGATTAAGGCAATGAATGTAGCATTAACATCTCTATTGATAATCCCTCTATTATAAAATTCCTCAAAAACTTTCATCAAATCCCTACTTAACCACTCCCAACAATCTTAATAAAAGCCATAGAGAATCCATCAGGCCCAAGAGCCTTAGTCCTATTCATAGAAAAAATAGCTTCCTTCACCTCTTCCCTATCAAATCTTCTCTCCAGTTCCCTCCTCAATGAAAACTCCATAGTTGGCCACTCCAAGCCTTCTAATTTTTATCTTCCTTGTGCTGGCTTTCCATAGATAGATTTAAAATGGTCCACAAATGCCTTTTCAATTTCCTCCTAATGTGTATTTGTGTCATTCTTAGTTTCTAGCAAAGAAATGAAGTTCTTCCATTCACAACCTTATGAAAATATTTTGTATTCCCATCCCCCTTTTTAATCCATTTCACTCTTGACTTTTGCTTCTAGGTCATCTCCTCCCTCAAGAGAGTAATTTCCATCTTTCTTTTCATTAATATCCTCTCCCCTTCTATCATTTGTCCTTGTTCCTCCTTCCTATCCAACTCTTGAATTTGGCGGATCAAATTTGATTTTTTTTCTCTTCAATTCTTCCAAAATGATTCAAATGCCACTCCTTGATTTTCTCTTTTAAGTTCTGCATCTTCCTATAGAACTTAATCCCTTCCCATTCAACCTGGGGCTCATCTTTTTCCCACCACATTCTTGTTTTCTACATGAAATCAGGGACACTGAGCCACACTCTCAAATCTAAAAGGCATCGGACCTCCTCCATTTGTTCCTTGGTAGAGACTAATTGGCCAATGATCTGAGGTTAACCTAGGCAGGACTTTCCCTAATAAGTTATCCCAATGCTCCTCCCAATCCACAAAAACTATGAATCTATCCAATTTTGAACAAATAGGGTTTTCCTCACAATTTGACCAAGTGAATCTGCTTTGCCCCGTCACAATTTACTTTAGCTCAAAGGCTTCTATAAATCTATTGAAATTCTTCATGCTTGTTGTCACCTTTTTCCTAGGTTTGTTAGACTTGGCAACATGTTGGATCACATTAAAATCACCTCCCACACACTATGGTCCTTGCCATAAACCCCTTATATCTGCCAATTCATCCCACAGTTCTTTCCTTTCCTTGCAAGAGTTAGGTCCATAAACATTTGTTACAACCCATTCAAAATTATCACTTACGCTTTTTAATTTTACAAAAATTGAGAATTTGCCTATCAATTCATCCACATACACCACTTTTTCTTCATTACAGAGGGCAATTATACCCCTTGAAGCTAACCCATGAGGGGGCCTGAACCCAACCAATGCCTCTTCCTCCCCAAACACTCCTAACCCATATTTTGCCTAAGTCTTGGAGGTTAGGTTCCTAAATCAGTAGAACCTCTGGCCTCTCTCTCCTCACCATTTCTTTAATGATCCATCGCTCATTAACACTTCCCAAACCTCTTACATTCCAAGTTAAAACCTCCAGCCTAAAACGACTATATAATCCCTTCAAGGCTTGAACCACTCCTGCCCCTTTCTAATTACTCCCTTTTCCCCTTCCTATCCTCTCACTCTTCTCTTTTTCTTTTACCCCAAATCAACTTTGAGTTTACCTCACTCACCTTTCTGTCCACTCCCTTAAGGTAACTTCCTCGTTAAACATTAACTCCCCCTGATCCCTAGTTTTTTCTTCATCTTGCTTGTCCACTGATTGTTCTCCCCCTTGTACTTCTTTCATACTTGTCCTCCCTGTTACAATACTTGCATTACCTTCTATCCCTTCTACCCTAGCTCCTGCTATAGTCATGGGTTGTTGGAGTCGTTGGTTTGGAGATGAAGAATCTGCACAGACATCAGAGCCAATATCAACAATATTCAAAACTGAAGACACTGGGTTACTTTGGGTGGTTGGGTACGCTGAAAAGGAGAAATCCCAAGGCTATGAGTCAATGTTGAACCTAACTCCCACCAACAGAGAATCTTTAAATTGGTTACTCCTTGGTGCAAGGGGTTGGGGGGAAACAAGGTCTGGTGCCTTATCCTCTTGTGGAGAACCTGTGCTAATCTTCTGGCTAGATTCCTTTAACAATGAACTAATCCCTTATGAATGCTCTTGTCTTTGATCTAGTTTCTTTCTTTCTGGCCACACTACAACACCTTGAAGCGGCTAGTAAGTAGAATCATCAGCCAAGAGCTTTGAAAGTCCCAGATTTACACAGTCGTCAACAAAAAGCTTGAAGAGAAGTTCTAGACTCAGGTCTTCAGCATCGGACAAAGGATCCTGATCTTGCATGCTTCCAAAACTTGACAGCTTAGTAGAACTATAGGCATCATCTTCTTTATCTGAACTACTCCAATCTATCTGACTATCCTCTTTCCACACCTACCTCTTCCTAGCAAACCTCATATTTGGATGCTCAGTCAATTGTTACTTTCTTGTCTTCCACTGTAACTCACCGCTTTTTATGATTTCCATTGACGAACCTCTCTACCTGGGGGCAATGCTAGACCACAACTACTACCCAGCATTGGCCTAGAAAATTGTCATGTGATTACTAGAATAAGATGTGGCTTACTAATCGCACTTCTTTGAACCGATTTCTCAACAACCTTGTCAATTTGTCCTTTTGGTTCACCCAAACTCCTTTTTTCCTGCACCGTAGGATAATGTGGGCCCCTATCTTCTACCAAAGGAAAGCCTTTTTGTAGAGATTCCTTATAAGAGTAAACTCTCGCGTTAATAATCTTTTCATTCGAAATGGATTCTTTAATAGGAAGCTGAAACATCTCTTTGACTCTCTTTGGTATCACATCCTCCATTCCTTCCACATGTCGGCCCATTTGTCTACCCACCTATTCAGGCAGAGCCACTCTTTCTCTGCCAGCTGCCATCCACCTTGCCACATCATCATCTTCTTCAAGATTCGTTGAACCACTCCAGTCTTGCTTCTGCCTCTGAAGCAATCCAAACCTAGCTCCAATAGCCTTCAGCAAACAGTTCAAAGGAGCGTGGAATCGTTTTAGGCTTTACACCAGCAATCTGCATCCTAGCAGCTCTCAAATCCAAAGTTTTGAAGGAGATAAGAGCTCCACCTAATGCTTTTGCTATTTTTTCAAAGATAGATTGTTTCCAAAGGTTGAGCCGAAAACTGTCGTCACTGATCTCCTTCGAGTTGTAGGAAGGACACCAGTTTTCCACCCTCACTGATCCTTCTTTAGTCTCTATGATGGTAAAATCGATAGCTACCCTACCCACATCCAATACTGCCTTTTTTTTCCATCGAAAGGTATGAGAATAGCTGTCTATTCGATTTCCAGCTTTTCAGTTACTTTCTCTAACACCATCTTCCATCATTGATAGGCTTCTCTGCTGAAATTACAAATTTTCTCTCCCAATCTCCTTTATCCCCATCTACCATTAGTTTTGGTATCAACGTGGAGTGTGCAATCCCCAATTTCTCTAATCTCCTTTCAAGCATCTCCTCCTTAGTTTTTCTTCTTCCTGCAGATGGTCCTCCTGGGATGACGATCAGTTGTTTCCTTCCTTTTTCAAACTTCTCCTCGAAAGTCACTAACCACCCTTTAAAGTTTCTTCTTTCTGCAACGTACTCCTTTGTCCTTTCTCCATCGAGGAAGCTTTGGTTCACCGTCGTTTCCCTTTGATGGAGTTTCTCTTCCAGGATTAGCTATTTTGCCTCCACCTTGACGAGTCTTCGCCATTTCCTTGCAGGTGTGAACTCCATCTTTGTTGATTTCATCTTTTATCAAGCCTCAAACCGGTATTAATTGTTACCATGTCTCATCTTTATTCCTAAATTCTTAATACATATGAAAGGGTCTTGGGAAGTAAGATTGTTGTTTATTGGGTACTTAAATGAAACTATCAATCAGCTGGTCGTCTAATTTTTGGGTATTGATGGTATGAGATAGCCCTAAGACAGATGGCTGAGGCCAATCACGTTTTTTGCATCAAAATTCGAGATATTTACACTCACTTAACAGTAATATGGCCAAGGGGATGAACATAAAATAACTTCAATGTCAATGTACCTTGCATCACATCAATGAACATGGTGAACTTGAGTTAAAAGGGTAAAAAATGAACTATAAGCAAGTCTACAATGACTCAGAATTACAAGTTCACTGGAAAGTTGCATCAAAAGTTTTCCAACAAAGGACAATAAAAAGAACCAAATGAATAAACCTTGAAGAGTAAGAAACAGAGAACTCAAGGCTCGTAATGAATTACAAGTCTGTTGTAAAACTGCACAGGCATCACAAAAGTTTCAGTCTCTTAACGGAGCCAGTCTTTGCGACTCAAATTTTTCCCCTTCACTCGCTTTGAAACCTGTATTTAAGTGCTCTAAATTCATGAGATTTTTCTTTGGTCATTTGGTGTGTGCTAGGCAAATGGGCTTTACATAATGGAAGGGCCTGCCCCCAAAAATCCCAAAACGCCTGTAAACCCTGATGAAGACGGGATACATACCAGGTCCCCGTTACACCCGGCAAGACTTTACTACTAGCTGGCTCAGCTGGCGCCTTCAATTTGTTGAGGATTAACCCAATCGTAACTCTTACGACTATGATTTTCTTCCTTTCCCTTTTTTGCCAATCTTCTTTCCTTTTGATGTTTTGTTCTTCCTACTGGAGATTTTACTTGCCTTTTTCTGCCTTTCCTTCCTAACTTGTTCAGGATCTTTAAGTTCTGAACGCACATGGACATTGGGCACAGAGAAATGCCCTCTGCCCCTTTTGAACTTTCTATTGAATCCCTGGTGCATCTGGCGATCCCCTGCAAAACAGGAATGATGTCAGAGAAACAATTTGTTTTTGATATGTCAGAGAACAATTTGAAACAGGTTTAAATTGTTATTCCATGGAAAACTTTCTTAAGCAATATATACATTGAAATTGCGCAAGGTTAGTAATTGCAACAAATTTGAGTTAAGGTGATCCAGTAAGTGATAGGCCACGAACTTTTGATGGTGAAAAGCCAAAGTTCAATTTAGAAATCAAAGTTTTACATTAGGAGATTTGGCTCTCTTGTTGAAGAAAGTTCAACAAACAAGGAATAGAATTTCTATTAAAAGGGGGACATAAAGAAAAAGAACTTTTTTATTGGTGATAAAAATAAGATAAATAAAATATGCATAATAGAAAAGCTACGTTGGTGTTTCCTCACAATGCAATAAAAAATAAATTCTCAATGCATTACAAATCATAAAGAGCTCTTTGACAACACAGGGCTACTAATACAATACAATACCTTTTCAAAAACAAAAAAAAAAGTGACAAAATAAAATAAGAAGCATATTTAGAAAAGGAAAAGGATTTGATTAGACTAACATGCCAAAGAATGAAACAACGATACAAAATGCCAAACTGGGAGAGTCAGAGAGAGAGAGAGGTTCACAATTGTAAAACACTGATTTCCAAGCATCACCTGATGAACCTGGGGTCCCTTCAGCATTTGTTCCTTTAAGAGAGATCTTATTGTGAGACCGTTCCTTCCACTTCTTATATATCCCAGTCTTGCTGGCTTTTACTTTGGAACCACTCTCTGTCTTTACCTGTATAACAATTTAAGGATACAGAGAAACGCTCATTAAATTATATAGAACAAGAATGAATATGTGACCTTTAAAACTTCAGATTATTCAATGGAAAAAACAGTTATAGCCCCATTGCCAATAATCCCATACTCAACCAACCTGTTAACGTAATTAATAGAAAACCCTGACAACAGAAACATACAAATTTACATGGTTTACCATTATATAAATCTATATCTGCAGGTAAAGACAACTACTGATCAACAATAGAATTGGTATAACTGGGGAAAACAAAAAACAAAAAGCCGTGGAAAAACAAAGTAAATGGAAAATATCTAAGCACTTTATATGATATGGTTGTCTGATGATTGTTAAATGGAATTTAGTTTACTGATGGGTTATTATATAAAATTGTTGCACCTGATCCAAAAAGAATCTACTTGCATACCATAACACACATGCCCTCATCAACTAGATGTAAATGAAACTGGAACACCTTTCTATGCACAAAATACAAAAGAAACTCTGAGGTTTGAGCACCATATGTGATGACAGAAGGATAAAGAATATTTCAAAACTAACCAAAATATTGCACGCAAGAGAATCTAATTGTTGTCTGGCAAGATTAGGCTAAACATGAAAGTGATTATCCACATGATGGTAATGACCCATTATCAGATACACATTAGCTAGGGATACTGTCCACGATCCAGATTGACCAGGATCCAGTAAATATACAGTGATTGTACAACCAAGGGGTGAGCATACAAAATAGCATTGAAACTACATGCAGCAGCTAGTAGTACATGTGAATGATGAAATAGGTGGAGATAACAACAGTTATGGCTATGATAGTACAATGTATCAATATGTGTAGATATTAGTCTTTATTAGATTACCATGTAATTTCTTATGACTAATTTTCTTTTTTCATTAGTAATGACTTCAATGGTTTACAAAGTATTCCAGGTAAATTCTCTATTTTCCATGATTAATGGATAATGAGACCCAACAGAAAAGCAAGATCTGAGCTCTAAAACCCAGAGACAGGCCCAAAATAATGACTTGTCCACAGCCTGCCTCAAACTGAAAAAGAATTACTGGAGTGCTCACTGTTACCTTGTAAAAAATACATGTTTCCACTAAAACCTGCCAATCTAAAACATGAGGATAAAGTAAACATTTCCTTGAAATTACAACTGGATTCAACATAATACCTTCCCACTGGCTGTCACACGCTCGCCATTGTTCAGTTTGATGTACTTTTTACTCCTCTGTCATCCAAGCAGATTCACAGCTTGTAAAACTAGAGGATGTTGTCAAGACAATAATAACAAATCAATATTTGATTGCTGAAAATACCTTATCCCAATGATATACAGACTTTTGCTTCTGCAAACCAACACTATCATCTGCAACTAGATCAAGCACAGCAGCATCCAACCTATAAATACAGATACACATTTAAAAAATAAAGAAATGGAAATTTCCTTAAAATCTTGTATAATACACCAAATGAGCATGCTTTATGCCTCTGTAGAAACCTAAAGAAAATGAAAAACACCTATCACAAGACTAGAAACTTAAAACAATATATAATGTCTAAAGCATGCCAAGCTACTGTGAGGTTTTATTTGACTACAAGTTTCAGAACATTGGTCTCCAACCTTTCTTTAGTTCTATAAGAAGTTCTTAGAAGGAGAATAGACAAAAAGACAAAGGAATCTATACAGGATTAAAAGCAAAGAAAGAAGTATGAAATCTGCCAATCTTTGCCAATCATGATGAACACCAAATAACAACAAAGAAGACATTGTTAACTGTCCATCATAAAGAGTACAGAATATCTTGGAATTTGGGACTCAAATGAAAACTTGGGGGAGGGAGAAGTTACAAAGTCTGTCAGCCAATTGAAAACCTTAATCAAGTTTTCCTCCAATCAGAAGGTCATGACAGTAGAGATTGGTAACCAGATCCTGTGGTCCGTTTCACATGTTAATCTTCTTTAGAGCCCTCAACAATTCCCCTCCTGATCCTTCTCCCTTTCTTGAGATTTGGAATGGACCCGTACCACCAAAAACAAAAGCATTTGTAATGAGAAGCTGCTCCCAAAATCAACATGTGTGTGTTCTCTTCAATGAAAAAGCAAATCATGGTACCTTGCCATGTGCGTGTTCTCTGCTATGGTGCAGGAGAAGTGTTGAACATCTTTCTTTTTTTTGTCCCTACTCTGTAGTGTGTATTTCTTCATCCTTTTTGGAGCAAGATGGCCCAACCCAAATAACACAATGGAGGCAATCATATTGTGCTGTGGACTCTTCATGGGAGAGGGAATGCAAGAGTTTTTGGAAATACATTAAGAGATGTGCAGTATTATAGAAAACTCTATAGTGAAGACAGCCCATTGGGTACTCACCACCAAGGAGTTTAATGGTTTAACAACCGATAATATACTTTAGGGCTGATATAAAATGCCTAGGTTCTCCTCCAGAAAAACTGTATTGAAACTCCATAGTTAGCACCAGAGGCAGGGAAGCTGAAATTCAACTTCGATGGGTGAAGTCTTGGCAACCTGGGTTCATCAGGTGTAGGAGTGGTAAGGGACCATCTTGGGAATATTATAACTAGCTTTTCAAGACCAATTAGTGTAGGGAACTCAATGCTGAGATTGCTGCACTTTTTACAAGGATTAAAATTAGCCCAATCTCAAGGATGGTTAGAGCTGATGATTGAAGGAGACTGAAAGGTGACCATGGAATGGCTGGAAAACAAAGACAAGGGTCCTTGGTGGCTGCAACAGCCACCCTATAATTAGAGAAGCCATTTTTCAGCACCCAATCGGAATTGCTCATTCAGATGTACCCTTCGTTCAGCTAACTCAGTAGCTGACACGTTGGCTAAATCTGGAAAGATTGGAGAACAATTTTTAGGGGGAATACCAAGGCCTGGCATTGCTGCAAATCTCACTTAAATGCACTGTTAGTTTCTTGGCAGCTTATGCTGCTTATTTTGAATTAATTCAATTATCCATTACTGATGAAAAATCATAAAGATTCCAGAACAGCATTTTAATAAAATAATATCAGAAAATGAGAAGCAAAACGTTCTCACCCTTGTTTTCATTGTTTTCACTACAACAGAGCTTTCTCACTCAAACTACAGATTTACATATGATGCAAGTGCACAGACATAAGCATGCCTATATGTCAACCAAATCAAGTGGAGCTCTATAAAATGATTCATTCCTGATGGCAAGAGAAAAGTGACCATATATTTTGTTCCCAATCTACATACAATGATCAAATATGATATAACATATGGTTGACTCCACCATGTAGCCAAATCAATGTTTTAAAACGTGGAGGCATGATGCAAGGTGTTCCACTACCTAGAGGCGTGAGGCGTAGTTCAGAACACAAGAGGCGTAAGCCTCCCGAACACAAGGAGGCATAACCCTCCTTAAGAGGAGGGGGGATAGGAGGAGGCGCATGAGATGTGCATGAGGCATGAGGCGTACGCCTCTAGCACGCCTCATGAAAAAAGCGCATGAAGCGTACGCCTCAGAGGTGTCAGCGCCTCTGGCATACGCCTCAGGGCGTTTTGGAAGCGCCTCACCTGGAGGTGCGCCTCCAGGCATACGCCTCCCACGCCTTTTAAAACACTGAGCCAAATACCTGATTATGGCACAGAAATCAAGAATATATAATTATATTTGCTAGACTGTAACATAAGCTAAGTTGCAGCACTGCTAAAACTCTTCTTTGTGACACATACCAGCACTTGGCCTTACATCCAGACAACCATACAAAAAATTTAGTCACCTTCTCTGTCTATTCATTTATCACCTTTTTATAAGGTATGAATGTATAGGAAGAATGAACGGAAAAAGAAGAATATACAATGTCTTTGTACTTACCGACTTGAGCCAAAGCCTTCCTTAGCTTTTACCGAGAGTCCTGCTTCCAAATGCTGCAAGCAATACCAGAATGTTAAGTTGTCCAAACTGGATCTTCAGAAATATGAGAGAGAGAGAGAGAGAAAGACCATTGGTGTAAATAGTATCTTCAGAGGAAATAAAAGACCTACTTGATTTGTGGGTACTGAACTTATGTAGTACTCTTCATCCTTGAAGCTCTTTGCCTTTCTTTTAGAACCACAAATTTCTACAGTCAATGCAGAAACATCAATGATAGTAACCAGAAAATGTAAAAGATGTGTCACTCGATATTGTTTTGATTTGAAAAGATAAAGTTGCTTCACAGCACACACTCTATGCATCGACAAAATAAAAATCAAGAAAAAAAAAGGAGATAGTGATGACAAAGGAAATCTCAAATGAATTTTTTAATTCTCTATTAGTTTCATTGGGGCTTCAAACACCAACAAGAAAAAAAGTGGGCAAATTTGCAAAATGGAATGTAATCAGGCCACCTGGAGAGATATAACCCCTTTCAAGCTGAAACTTTCTTAGACAATTTCCCAATGACTATTTCTCAAGGCATGTTCCTTGGTATACCTCTCAGAAAATGTCTATATATTTAAGGAGACATGATGCCACCTTACAACCAAGGGCATACGCTTCATAAGATATACCTCTCAGAAGCACAAGACTCCATTTCCTTGTTTCCTGCCAAACTACGCTTCATAAGATATACCTTCAGGCTCAATACCTTTACCACCAACGAAAAGATGCCTTTCAGGTTTTTAAAATCCTTTACACCCCTGAGTTCACCTAAAATCAGTTTTTTAAAAGCGCAAGGCACAAAAAAAGCGCAAGAGCCAATTTGAGCCTAAGGCGCAAGGTGCAAAATTACAAAAAAAAAGCTAAAAATAAAAAAAGTCAGAAAATTCAAAAAAAAATGCCCAAAAAATTATAAAAAAATGCAAAAAAAATCAAAGAATATTAAACATAATGTTAATAAAAATATAAACTTAAATTTTAAAATAAATGTTTTAAAAACCTATTACCTAAAAATAAAATACATAAACATAACATATAAAGCGTTTTCAAATGAAAATTTAAAAATAAAAGCAAACATATAAAGCATTTTCAAGCATGTAAAACCCACGATCTTTTTTTTTCCTTAATTGCATTGCTTCAAGTAGCTAATGTGAGGTAAAACATATTTCAGCCTTTCTCAAGAGTCTAGTAGGTTCAGAAGTTCAGTCAGGAAGAGCCAAAAGAAGACCACAAACAGACAAAATCCATGCACATTTTAGAGTTCATTTTATTTCACAGACAAGTCTGAAATTGGAGACAATGAGCAGATTCTGTGCAATCAAATGCCAAGTGGAATGCCATCAAGCTTAAAAACACTTGATGTTGAGTAAAGGAAACATGTAGCTAGAGGTGATTATGTTCATTGACAAGGCCATAAAGATGAAGGCCAGAATTTTTCAAATGAACAATTTAAAGAAAAAATAACACAATAACTCTTGTTTAGAACTTAGGAGAGGTGACAAGAAATACTAAACAAACTCCAACAATCTGAATATTAATAGAGGAAAAAGCACTTTATAGAAAATGAGAAAATTAAATATAGAGAAGTCGACAAAGCAAAACCTTTCTTCTCTTTTTTCTTTGCAACAGAACTTTCTGATTGGACTTCCTGCAATAAATAAAACAGGATAGTGATAGTTTGTTAATCTCACCAGGAACACTTTTTCTATAAATTGGGCGCATTGATTGTGATAGGACAAATTTTTAGAACATGGAGTTTTTTAGTCTTGACAAATAGAAACTTTTAGCTTGTTCATTAGGGATGAACCTGGTTTATAAAAAACAGGATGTGCCACAATCACCACTGAAAAGAAAATCCTACAAAATTATAAAATAAAGTTGAATCTAAAATGTAAGCCAAAGTATACACTGCATTTTGATGGAAAATTTACTTATATTTTTTCAATAAAAAATAAAAAGGCATTTAGTTGGGTATGATAGCAAACGTTTTATGTGCAATGCCTCAGTAATTAAAACAAAGTGATCTCAGTGCAATCCAATATCCACAATCAGGACCCACCCCATAATAGATTATCTACTGTTGTTTGTAATAGATTCATACTTCTATTTTAATCTGTTTCTTTTACAAAACCAAACATCATTAATAAAATTGAAAAACTAAAGTATACTTGGTGTCCTCAAGCCCAACTTTTTGGACTCACCAAGTGCCATACCTCATGTCTATGTGAGATACTGAGATTTCATAACACATTCTTTTCCATGAAATTTAAATGTAATATAATATTTTGGGAGGAATAGTCTTTTTGGACCATTAACAAATCAAGAGATACTCACCTAGTACAGATTGGCCAGGACAGGAATTACTATATCTGAGAAACTGGCATAGAGGAAGCTTCATTTGGATTCATGAGAAAAGTAAAAATGTGAAAGACTAACTGCTTGGTGGACCAATTTCTGAGATAACTGTTATCCATTTATAGGCTGTAAAAAAGGACATGCAAATGGGATAATTACCGTAGCTTCACAACAGAGACACAGCCACTACAATGAATACCTAAGCCCCTACCATGGAAAAATTTAACTATACATAGGGCTCCAGTATATCAAAAGATAGTTATATTCCTTTGTTGGTTCTGCACGAACTTCTTTTATTCCCCTTCCTGATTACTAATATGATCAAAGAGAAAGATAAAGCAGTTGTATAACCACAATGAAAAGACATTAGATGTAAAGACAATAGAGAAAAGGTACAAAAGACACATTGGAGAAGAAAGGAAGGGTGAAGATAATGCAGAAAACATGGTTTTAAAGGGCAATGGAGAAAATGCTATTCCTGTTTTCCTCTGCAGATTCTCTAGAGCAACATGTGTAACTTAATGCCATCCTTGAGTGCCCCATTGGTTTCTCTTACATGGAAAATCAAAGCCATCTTCAAGAGGAAAATATGAAGAATGATACTTCTTAGATATTTCTTAGGATATTTAGAGAAAAAAGAACAACAATATTTATATATGTTATTGATTCCTCTGGACAGTGTCAAAAACATTTGCCTCTATCTTGGCTTATTATAGATTTTCCATGTCTAAATTTAGTTCCTTTTGCTAGATGAGGCAACTCCAGCCTTTATGTTTTTGTCTTGTTTTTTAGCCCATTCTGTACAGCTTGTTCTATACTTCCAATATAATCAATGAGTTTATCAATCGTGACTTTTGTATATTGCTATACTCTGGACTGCAGAGTAGCTAAAGTACTTGTAACCAGTTATTTAAATTAATACAAAATCCTCTTCTGCTTATCAAAAACAGAATTTATCAAGACTGGTTTATTCTACGAAACAACCATTGGTTAAATGCACAAGTAGTGGATGCTGATAAAAAAAAATGCATTAGTGGAAACAATGCACATCCTATAACTTGTCTACATTGCTACTAAACTAGAAGTCATGGTTTAAAATGTCCCAAGTTTCCCTAATATTTCCATGACATGTTTCCAATTCCAAGGGTACCAACACAAAATTTTAAAGGAATCAATATGTTCCCCAATGACCACTACGAGCACTATGTGGAGTACAAAATACAGTTTTCATAACATATTTCCATTTCCACTTCCAGGGGTAGCAACATGAAACTTTAATGGAATTGACATTTCCCTAGTGACCACTATCAACACTATGCGGTGTACAAGAAAAAAGAGCAGCCCAATACATGAGGTTCCCCCAATATGGGATCTAGGGAAAGACAGATTTATGCAGCTAGTGTTTTAAAAATGCAAGGCAGAAAAAAAAGCACAAGGGCCATTTTGCACCTTTTTGAATCAAGGCACAAAAATGCAAAAAAATAAAATAAAAAAACGAAAATACAGAAACATACCATGTAAACATATTTAAAATAAAAGCTCAAAAATAAAATCAATCATAACATTTAAAACTTATTCAAGCATGTAAAATCTTAATCTCTTTATTTTTTCTCAATTGCTTTACTTCAAACAGCTAATGTGATGTTAAATATTATGCATTCCTAATTTTACAAGCCACCTTTGTAGCAAGCCCCTCAGGGCAAGCCCAAACAAGTCCATATCAGGGTCCTAAATTCTTAATCCCTACAAAAAAAAATAAAATAATTTAAAACTTCAAGTGTCTTCAAAAAATATCTTTTATTAGGGTGAATGGATTAGGTTGTTTCCAAGAAGCAAAATTTAAACATACATAGAGGTTGTTTCCAAGATTCGAACATTAGTCACCCAAGTTGCAATGGAGCAACACAACTGTTGCACCAAGGCCCACCCTAACTATGTGAAGTACAATAGATAGTATTATAGTATCAGTTGGTTACAATATTGTAGATATGTGGAATAACAATGTTATTGCAAAACTTACATGATTACCACTCTGAGCTAGCTCAATATTCATTTCAAACATGAAGTTAAACATTAGTTTTTCTTTGTGAAATAGATTGTTTGGTTGATCTATTACAACCATTTACATTTTATATGAGCTTAAGTTTTACTTTAATTCATTCTATCAAGATGCTTTGAATCTTAAGATTTACATGACAACTTCAGATCGTATTCTTTTAATTATAACATTGATTTCTTAGCTTCGTTTGATGATTTTAAACAATATAATAATTTAAAAAAGTGTGCCTATGCTTCTTTTATCATTTCATAAAATACCATTCTATATTTTGCATATTTTACAAAGTTTCCACTATATCTATAATTTTTACAATATTTCCGACATGTTCATTATATTTGGACAACTGACATTTCCACGGACACTGATATTTTAAACCTTGACTAGAACAATCTCAAGGGCTAATAACGGAATGCTGATCCAAGATATCCAGGGTCTTGAAAGACATGTACTGGATATCAACCTAACCTTTGGCATTTTCTTGCAAAACCTGGTCACTCTCAAACTCACACCCATGTCTAATTCTTGTTAAATAAAATTTTTACCATTTTACCAAGCAATAGCCATCAAGCATTTAATTCATATGGACTGAATAAATTGTGTCAAGAAGGAGAATATGATATTAAAATTTTTTTGGAAAAATGATATGATTAACAATATTAATCACATTAAGTGAAAGAAATGTAAATAACCAACTTTGGCACATGAACTTTGAATTGCAAGTGAAAGAAACAGAGCATAAAATGTAGCTTTTCATTCTTGGTGGTAGTGAACTCTTGATTTTCCTTGTCTTCAGAAAAGAGTCATTTTGTACCTTTATCCCTTTATTTTTAAACTATTCTTCTTATTAATTAAAAATAACAGTATAAAAGGGAGAGATGGGCATTAGAGTTGCTACCTTTGACACCTGATCAACAAAGCGTTGCTGATGTACTTTGTTGATGATCTCTTCATGGACAGCTCTTTTCTTCTTCATTACATCAACCCATTGACTAGAAGGACCCTGTAATTCAGACAAATATTATTCACATAGAATACAAGCAACTACATTAAAGATATAGATCTTTGACAAATAATCAAAGCCTTCATTTTCCCCTAAACATTTCAGAGATCCACATACCCAAGTTCCTATCAAAAAAAAAAATCCACATACCCAAGGATAAATAAGGTTTTTTCTTTGATTGTTAATGCACAGCTAAAAATCTGTCCTTGCCATTTAGAAAACCAATAACCAAATCTTATTGCCAAAAGAGTAGGGTGTTAGAACAATTGATGAGAGACTTTCGTGGGAACTAGGGGGAAAAAGGGATCATAGAGTTGGGTGGGAGGTGGTCATTAGAAGTAAGGAGCATAGTTGTCAAGGCGACGCCTAGGCAACTAGGCACTTTTCAAAGAACGCCTCGCCCAAACGCCAACTATGTTAGGCGCATGCTTAGTGGACTGAAGCAAATATATATTATATAAATAATTATTAAATAAAAAAATATAAAATATATAATATTTTATTGGTTGTTTTAGTTTTTATAATAGAACCTATTCGCCTAGGCGACTAGGCGCTTTTCAAAGAATGCCTTGCCCAAACGCCAACTATGTTAGGCGCATGCTTAGTGGGCTGAAGCAAATATATATTATACAAATATTTATTTAAATAAAAAATATAAAATATATAGTATTTTATTGGTTGTTTTAGTTTTTATAATAGAACCTATTGCATGTTATCATGCTTTGAGGTAAGTAAAAAAAAGCTAATCTTCGAGGGTTTCACATTGACAATAGAATCGAAGTATCGAACTGAGGAAGGCGAGAGAACAACAGCCTCCATCGTTCCCACACAGTCCTCTAAAGTCGAGGTGAGATAATCAGTTTTCTTCTTCATATTTCCTGGTTTAAAACAGTGGTTACGCCCCATTTTCTCCTCTTCCTTTTTGTATCTTTTCTCCAAGATTTTTGAATCATTTTATTGGACTAAAATAGGGGCTCCGCCTCCTTTTGTTCTTAAATTTTCTGCATGTTTTCAGCTTTTTTTTCTCATTATTGGTGTCTGAAACAGGGGCTCCACCTCTTATTTTATTCTTCATATTCCTCTTTTATTTTAGTATTTTTTTCACCATCTTTTCTGGGTCTAGAACAGGGGCTCTGCCCCCTTCTTTTGTTCTTAATTTCTTCCATTTTTTCAGTTTTTTTTTGTTCACATCATTGGTCTGAAACAGGGGCTCTGTCCCTTCTTTTCTTCTTCATATTTCTTCTTTTGTTTTAATATTTTTTCACCAAATTTTCTGGGTCTAGAACAGGGGCTCCGCCCCCTACTTTTCTTTTTCATTTTCTTCTTTTATTTTAGTATCCGTTCCCTATGTATTGTTGATCTAAAATAGGGGCTCTGCCCCCTTCAGTTCTTTCAAGTTCTAACTTTTAACTTGTAAGTTGCAACTCTAATATATTGTTTTGCCTACTTGAAGCAACACTGCAAGAAATACAAGCACAAAGCAGAATACATAAAACCAATAAAAACTAGTTCAAAAGGGGTAGAAAACATCAGCAAGCCTTAGTTTTAAATTCCATCGCCTAGGCACCTAGGCGCCTGGACGCCCCATGGTCGCCTAGCCTCGCCTTGGCACCTTGAAAACTATGGTAAGGAGGCAGGTGGTTTGGGATAGGAAGTATTCAAAGGAGTAACGAGGCACTACTTGGAAAATGGTTATGGAGGCTGCTAAGGGAGGGGAATAAACTATGGGCTAAGATGATTGTGAGCATTCATGGGCAACTGGCATATGGCTGGGATGTTGGAGTTTTGGCAAGGGCTAAATGAGCTTCTCCTTGGAAATCTATACACGCCATTCTTCCTTCTTTCTTGCCATTCATCAGGTATGACCTATGTTCTAGAGACCGGGTAAAGTTCTGGGAACACTCTTGGGTGGGAGATGCAACTTTGAGAGAACAATTCCCCTCCCTGTATTATATCTCTATGTTTAAAAATGAATCTCCACTTTTTTACGGTACCCTCAAATTCTTTCCTCAGCTGTGATTGGTATTTGGGTCTAAGAAAGGGCCTTAGGGATGCTGAAGTCAACCATGTTTCAGCCTTAATTCAGAATTTCAGACCTTGGTGGGGTGGTCTTGGACCTAGGGAGAAGGGATAGTAGATTTTGGACTCTGATCCCTGATGGAGAGTTTTCTTGTGCCTCCTTTTTTAAGGCCTTAACACAATCCTCGAGTAGCTCCAACATAGACTTTCTAGTCCTCGAAGTTTGGGGCAAACCGATTCCTCCAAGGATTGGTGCTTTTTATTGGGAAGCCGTTCTGGGAAGATGTAACACTTGTGACTTTCTCTAGAGAAAAAGACCTAATTGGTGCCTATCCTTGAGCTGCCATATGTTGGACAGTGGGAGGAAAGAAATTCAAGGATATTTAATGAAAAGGAGAGGAATAAGGAGGTCATTATTGAAACAATTACTATTAGAGTGGTGCATTGGGTGAAATCTCTAGATATGTTTGACAATATCTCCACAGATATGATAAGAAGAATTGGAAGTGACCAACTCAGCACCTACTAAAACCAAGATTAGCCCCATTCGGTCTCCCCCGGTCTTTGGCTTTTACCAAGCTGAACTTTGATGGGAGTAGTGAAGGTAACCCAAGGCCTTTGGGAATTCGAGGAACTTTTAGGGATGAAGATGGGAAAGTCCTTGCTCTATTTTCTGGTCCTATTGGTGTGGGTCATTCTTTACGAGCTGAGATTCTGGCAGTGATAGAAGGAATGAAGAAGGCGAGGGAGCTGGGTTGCAGCAAACTTATTATTGAAGGGGATTCAAAGTTGGTTATAGGATGGCTTCAAGAAGAAAAGAAAGGCCTTTGGAAGTTTGCTAATGTAAAGAAAATGTTCAACCAGCTAGCGCAAGGTGTGGAGATTCAGATTCAATGGATAAGGAGGTGTGCTAATTCTTTTGTGGATACCCTTGCTAAAAAAAGGGTGGGAAGGGAACAACTGTTTTGGGCTATTCTGTAATTGAATTAATTTCTTTGAGGAGGGTTAAGAGAGTTACCCCTCCCTTTGTACTTCTTTCTAACTTGAAAATTTAATTATAGGTGGTTATTGATCAAAAAATTCTTATTGCCAAAAGATGTTCACTGGCTAATGTACATGAACATGTACTAAACTAATTTTCTTTTTGAATAAGGAAATTTTATTGAAAGAAAAAGGTACAAAGATTAGTAACAACAAAACAAAAAGAGAAAGGGAAGAAAGGACAACAAAGTTTGCCAGTCCTCATTTCCTTAACAAGAGTACCACCACAGTTTTTTTTATTTTATAAATAATGGAAATAATTGTCAACGCATCTACGCAATTCTGGGTGACAGAGGGGCACCTAGTCACTTAGGCACTAAGAACTTTTAGCTAGTTCCTTAGTTTTATATACCATTCAGCAAACATGTTAATCGCAAAAAAATAGCAATCCACTTTATTAAAAACATTAAATTTCCTCTTAAAACGTGGAAAATCATCATATCTAAAAGATAAAAATATTTTAAACATATATTTAATAAAGTACTTTCATATCAACTAGCAGGGACCCATGCAATGCACGAGATTTATTAAGCAAAAGTTAAATAATAGAAAGGGTCATTTACTAAAATACCTCTTATAGTTTCATGGATTTACTAAAGTCTACCCTATAGTTAGCATTTTACTAAAACACCACTTATAATTTACAATGGATTTAATCAATCTTCCATTAGATGACAGTGGAAAATGATAGTATTGACCCTAATGCTCATTTAAATAAATTTAATCAAAAGAAAAAAAATAAAAATACCATTTTTTCCCTTAATAAGACACGGGCAACCACTCTATTGGCTATATTTGGTCAATTTTGTCTTATATACAAAAAAAAAGTGTTAAGGATATTTTTGGAAGAAAAAATCATGGGTCTAATGGCAAAACAAACACTCCTTAATGAAAGGTTGATTAAGTAAATAAGTTGTAAAATATATGGGATGTTTTTAGTAAAATGAAAACTATAAGGTAGGTTTAAGTAAATATGTAAAGCTATAACGTGTGTAAGAATGGCAACGGGGCGGGTTCGGGGCAGGGATCATATTCCCCGTCCTCGACCCTGATTCTAAAATTAACACCCATCCCTGATGCCCGACGGGGATCGGTTCCCCGTGCGGACCCAAATCCCCAAAATGTTTTCAGATAATAGTATTTTTTAAAATAATTTTTTTTAAATAAATTTATTTAAAATAAATGAAATTTTTAAATTATAAATAATGTTTTAAATATGTTTTAATATATATAATGTAAATAATATAATAGTATATTTAATATAAATAACATTTAATATATACAATCGGGGTCGGGGCGGGGCGGGGACCTAAATCCCCATCCCCGACCCTGACTGGGGATTCCTATTAATCCCCGTCCCTATCCCGTTCCGCCAAAACAATCCCCACCCCCGGCCCCATCGGATCGGGGAAGTCGGGTCCCCGTCAGGGATGGTAAAAATTGCGATCCCTAAAGGTGTGTTCTAGTAAATGACCCTAATAGAAACACATAAGAGTATACAATTGTTTTATATTTTCAACTTTTTAAATAATTAATAATTATTCATATTTTATATACTACTTTTAATAATTTTTTATAATACAAAATAAAAATAATTAATTTCAGTTAGGTTTTTTCATCAAACTGATGAAACGAACCAACCCGATCAACTCGACTTGAGTTGCTCAGTTTTCTACTATTTTAGGTCGGCTTTGGTTCAAAATTTTCTCAATTCAACTAAGTTGGTTCAGTTTCACTTTGGCCATTTGTAAACTGACCAAAATCAGGTGACCTAACCATGGATATATATTAATATTTTATATTTTAAATATAATTTTTAATATAGAAAAGTGGTAAATTTCCCATATTTCTTAGTCTAAAATGTTTTATATCATAAATCTAATTTTTAAACTTAATTTTTAATAATTGCACTATAATTTTTAAAACTAAATTTAATTTTT